ACTCAGTTTTATTCTTAAAATATTATATATCGTGCAGATATTCTTGGTATCTTTAATATAAAATTCCGTTCCCATTTTCTTTCATAGAAAAATTAAGTAAGTTTTACGTTACTTCTAACATACCATTAATTTTGTAGAATATAATTAATCGCATTTTTTCTCGCTTCTCTTGTGTTCTTAGCGTAATTAATATATCGTAACAGTATCATCCAATTAGTATAATACCATGTAACACTATCAGATAAAGTTCGATTGCAATATATATATATTAATGATGTACACATCCTAATCTCTTCGCACTAGACGAAACTGTTCGAGTAAATAAAGACGAGTCAGGGAGCACGAGATATGGCAAATAAATCAGGAAGTCTGCTGAGGTAAACCATGCAGAAGAAGCGCTTTCTCCGATGGAAAACTCGATTTAGATCGCACTCGTGCACGCTTGTGCAATGTGCTACATCCGTCTGCGACGTACACTTGTCGGCGTGTTTGTGTACTTGTACGCGCAATAAAGCATTATAGGCGCGCATTTAGCATGATATGATATACGCAACCGCGTGCGCATGTACGCGAGCACATTTCGAGATTGAACGAAAGCAGTGCTGAAATGTCGATTGTTAATCATAGAGCTAAATTATAAAGCGTTCCTTTGGCCAAAGGGTACTACGACACACGTAATGAACGTTTGTTAGATATCGATCGCAACGTTTTACTATATTGTGTAATTTGCTTTTCTAATTAAAGGCCTCGCACCAACCGTCTATCAAAAAAGAAACGAAGGCGAGTAGGCCTCACGATTTATATCCATTTGTAGAATTGATTGCGATGTTAATCAGTGGCTCTGACACTTCATTCGGAAGTGGCGGATCAAGAAACAAACTAGAGAAATCGAACAAAATTGAACTGACTCTCACTGATAATTTAAAATTTATATTAAATACTTTCGCTCATGTATAAAAGATGTGCAAACTCAGTGTAATATATTTTTTAATTTTTTAGTTATAATAAATCATAAAATATCAGATAGATAAATAAAAAAATAATACCCAAGTAAAGTACAAAATCGTAATTAAATCATAATAATATTATAGGATGTCATTATTTATCATTTAAAAATGAACTTTAAAAGTAACAAATAAGGTTACGATAATTCTATTTGAGTGTAACTACTTGATGAAAGTATAGTCTCATTGTAATATTAAACTATAACGAATATGCAAAGAATCTGTTTCGATATCTTAGCGCTATCTTAATTATTCCGAATACATCTCCGTGTTTAATTCAGGAATAATCTATTAAACTACATTCCTGAAGACATTAACAATTAAGGACGTTATATATGACGTGGTAAGAGGCGTCCGCCTTGAACTGTGCGTCAATTTCCATCGGGACGATTTACAAATCGCGAGATCTTCATATCGTTACATAAATTATCCATTATTATGATGAAACGAAAGATGTTGACGATACTTTGTAAGAAGCCACTTACACAATGATAAAAAAAAATTATTCTGGAATAAGAAATGTTTGTCTTACGTAATGCGTTATTAAATCTATAAGAAAATCATCTCGCTCTCGCTTCTATTAGATTATGATCATCGGTGCACACAGCGGAATAATTATCAACATCGCGCTTACGTTCACCGAAGGAATACGAGTTGCCTCGCTAGGCGCAGGTAATTGCGAATACTAATGAAAACGAAATTGTCCAATCTAGAACTTAACGATCAGGTAGCATCGACAATATTAATTCTCTTCGGAATTCATTTTGTTCACTTCTTGATTAATTAGACTATTAAAGAGATGATTAAGGAGATCATGATTAATACAATCTACTTGACGATTGTCAGAAAAGAACTGATGAATTGTATTCAACTATATTCTTTTATTTTTATTTACTATATTTAATTATAAACAAGCAAATAAAGAGAAAAGATATTTTTGAATAATTATTAAGTAAATTATTAAGTAAATAATTAAATAGATTGTGATCAGTACAATCTACTTGATACAATTGATAAATAATTAATTAACAACATTGTATTTAATTATATTTTACTTTGTAGTTATTATATTCAATAATAGTTATATTCGCCTATAATAGCAAATATAACGAATAAGAGAAAAGTATTTTTAAATAATTTGATTATTAAATAGGTCATTAAATTAAAATCGTGATTAATACCTTCTTAACAATTAATGACATAGAGCTATGATTTTCATTCTATAATCGATTATATTCAACTATATTCTACTTTCTATTTATAATATTCCATTATAATTTTATTACTATATCAAACTGTAACATTATGAAAATAGGACAAACACATGGGAGACAGATATTTTTGATCACGCGGTATATATCGTTCTCTAAGCGAACGGCGCACGACTAGGCGTGGTCCATGCAAACTTGCGATCTCTTTTTTCCTTCTTATCCTCTCACTCCATTTATATATACTCTACGCTATATCTACGCCGCCTCGATATCTAGAATGGTGCGTGAAATGCTTGTACATTTGATAAACATAAGAACTGCAATCATATTACTGACGACGATAATGCACAGAATAGGATCAATTTCTATCAGAATCAGAATATAACGAACAGTAGTCTGAAGATTGGAATATTTATGTTAAGTCTTATTCATTATTATCTTTTTGATAAGTTTATTATTATTATATTATAAAAAATTGTATTAAATTTGTTTCAAAAATTTCTAAAAGCTTCCCTCTATCGTATATACACACATATATTTCTGTCGCAAATATTGTTGCATAAAACTGAGGATGAAGGAATAAGCAAGAAGTTCATGCGTGTCGAATCCATTCGCTTAAGCTTCAACTGCATTATTTTAACTGCATTATCGTGGCAGTTTACGTATGTCTATTGATTGATAGATAATGATAATAAATGATCATCTTAATGCGAAAGTCAATTAAATGAGGAAGTTAATGTACATACGATAGATATAATTCAATAATGAAAAGACTAAAAAAGATGATAAAAATTGTTGATTTCACAGTTTTATATTCACTTTGATGAAAATATGTACTTTATGTTCATCTTTTTCAAATAAAACATTTAAAGAGCGATAGAGAGAGAATTCGTGAAGTTATGTTCTTAACTCTCGAATTAAATTTGATCTCATAAAATTATTATAGTTTTATAATATTTTTATGATTAAATAATATCCTCAAGTTACGAAAGATTAATAATAATTAATATTATTATATCTTACGCAATCATTATTATACATTGTATAGAGCAGCGCTATATCTTTTTTATATTCTAAGTATTTTTAATGTTCCGTTTAAATTAAAAATTAAACGATAATGATCTTACATTCTTCCAGATTATTTAACAAAAGTTATATTATAGTAACACGCGAGCTTATATGTTGGGAAAGTTCTCTTCACGGCTTTGAGTCTTGCTAGTAATTTCCGATGTACGTGTTAATATTTACGATCAAGCTTCATAATATGATCAAAAATGATTATACTTATATATTCTTGTACGCCACAAACTCGCTTCAACAACTTTTACAGTGAAAGAGCCGGCGAAAGCGTCCGAGATCTTCCTGGCAATCGTATTATTATAGGCGAATGCAAAACGAATAGCTGGAATCTGGACATCCAAGTATACGAGAGGGAAAGACGAATGATTCATTGATGTTGACAAGTCACAAACTATTTCTAATTTCTCTTTTACGTGACATCGTTGCTTTCATTATCGTCACGTTCTAAATGTATAAATTATAATTATTCAATGTAAATTTCAAAGGAATGTTATTGTAGAGTTTTAAAAAATGATTCTTATCCTATAGCAACTTGTTTTAGATGATTACACTTGAACTTAATTTCAATTCAACGAATTCATTGACACGAATGTAGTATCGAGTTTTAAAAAAATGTTAAGAGGACGATGTTATTTGACGCAACTCGTTGATGTGTCTGTTTATTGTCAAATCGGAGAATTTCATTGCAAATTAAAATTTAAAGGAAATAAATTTTGTATTTAAATAATAAGTTTCGATTTTTTAATTAAACTTCTTGGAAGTTTCGACCTGAATCTTTAATAACACGGAAGCTTAAGATCTCTTTTTGATTAAGGAAATTACAAATCAATCAAGGAATTTGTCATCAAAGTGAAATCTTGGAATATCCTGTAATTGAAACAATATAAGACGACGTTATGTTTAAATTAAATCGTGATATGCGATTTAATCGAATAAGAAACGAAATGTCGTCGTGAATCATTCGCAAAGATTTTCTTTTTCGTTGTTATATACGAATAATCGCATCTAATAAAGAAACTGCTTCCTTTCTCGGCTTCTAATTACCGAGCATCGTGCACCGCGTGCAACTGCACTCGTGCGATTTAGTCGAATAATACGAATCGACTCGTTCCGCTGGGTCGACGGCCTTCGTGAAAAAAAAGAAAAAAAAACAATGCGCGCACGCTGTAATGTCGTAAACGCTCGATATCAAACGCGCATCCTTGACACAAAACACGTGCGAACGCGGATTTTACCGGTCTCTTCATACGTGTATTTTGTATGCATTAATTTATAGATGATTATGCTTTTTTAAATCCCTGTCTTTGCGTCATGTATGCTTTACTTTACATAACGTATTTCATGTAACGCAGAGTTGGAAATTGAAGTTCATATATTATATTCTTTGTAGAGAATGATGTATTATATTAAAAATTACCATTTATTCGCCTTTTGAATCTAATAATGAATGTATACGCATAAATAACTTTTTCCTTTCTGAATAATTCTAAAATTTAGCTTTGAAATCTAAAATTATTAATCTTTTAATAAAAAAGTACCCTGTAAATAACAATATATTTATATTATGTAATTCTGAAAGTCATTATATAATTCTGAAACAGTTATTTATTACATGTGTTAAATTAAAAAGATAAATTTTTTATATCTTTTATGTGTATCATCGTTTATATATGAATTATAGTTACATATTTTGATAATAAATTACCTGATTAGTCTGTCCGCGAGAAGCTTCGGTAAAAGCGAAGACCAGCAGTAACGCCACTATTAAGCTCAATAAAAATGTCCTTGCCATTCTGAAAAATATCAAGAAATATCTTTTTAGAATTTTTGAAAATATTAGAAAATTCTAATTACACCGTTAGATATTAAAGGAGCGATGGTAATCAAATCCCTTTAGTTAAATAACATTTTATTATTTTTAACTTCCATGTATGTCAAAATGTAATCTATTTAATCTATTTTTGTAATTAGTTTCAAGTTTCAAGTGCAATTTAACAACGTTCAATTTAATGTACTTAATAAATAATAAACTAAATTTGGATCAAAGTAATACATTTACTGAGTTAAATTGTATAACTCCATTGTTTTAATTAAATTAACGGTATGTTGAATAGAAGTGATGGCGACCTGGCTGAGAAATTAAAGATAACTCACTTGATTAAAAATAACTACAATTTGACATTATAAATTTTATTTTAAACTATGTAAAAATTATTGAGTCTTTATTTAAAATGTTGTTTAACGTGAAATTTCTACATTGAATATTGAGCACAAAGTATGGTTCAAATTAATTAGTATTTTTATTTTTTATATATATATTTTTTTTATACATTTCGAGATATTATAAATATTTATGACTTATTTATATACATTTTATTAATGTATTTACATACTTTTTTTTTATGAAAAAAAAAAAACAAAATTTTATATGTAATAGAATTCGCATATATTTACAGAAAATTAAATATTAATATGTTTTTAATGAAAATTTGTCGTATTAGGAACGTATTAATTGCCGATGTATCGATTTGAGAATTATAATTATTATAAATATTCTGGCTACATTCGAGACTACATTATTATGTTTGTATTTATCATTTCTTTCGACTGTTATATTTTTAAGTCTAAATGCCTAATATCTTAAGAAATAATTGTGTAAATTCATCAATTGTTATGTAAATTTTTATATAACTATTCCAGATGTAACTTTTTTACTTCAATAAGATATAACTAAATCGATTCTGTTTTTAAGAAGATTACTGAATTAATAAATAAAAACTAATGATAAAAATAATATAATTCCAATTAATTTTTTTAATAGTCGTTATAATGTTACGTTTATAAAAATAAATAAACCGTCACTTTATTTACAAAGATGACGTGATATTTTGTTACATCGTGATTTATACCAAATTAGTTCAAACTTTTGATTTTAATATGAATTGAAAATGAGCTTTCCAATGTGCACACCGAGTGTACTTGGGTCGATACATATATGAATTAAACGTAAGGCGGCATTGCCTGCGTTGCTCAAATTAACTTTTACTCTTGCCGGTTGTGAGTTTCTACCTACTGCGCTGTTATTTTCGAAGCAGCGCAGGCGATACTGTCCCTCCCTCGTTACAAACATTCTGGTTCACTAACTTTTAAATCTCATATAGCACAAATCATTCTAGAAATATTACAGCAATATTGTAACGTTCAGCAATATCGCAAGTAACATTGCAAACGTTGCAGTACTGTTGCTGTAAGTTTTTGTGTTGCATAAAAAATTGCACAAAAGTGTATTCGAAAAAAAGTGTATTCGATAAAAAAAAAAGAAAGGAGAGATTCTCGTTATGTCAAATTTGTTATATCATAAAAAAAAATTTTAAATTATGTAAAAATTATTGAGTCTCTATTTAAAATGTTATTTAACGAGAAATTTCTACATTGGATATTGAGCACAAAGTATGATTCAAATTAATTAGTATTTTTATTTTTTACACATTTCAAGATATTATAAATATTTATAACTTATTTATATATTTTTTATTAACATATTTACATACATTTTTTTCTACGAAAAAAAAAACAAAATTTTATTATTAATAATAATCGTTCTCTTATACACATTTATCATGAATGAATGGAAGCACCATAAGAGGATCGAGGAAAGATCAGTATCAAGGAAAGTTCGATGATTGTAGTGCATGAATTACCATCGCTCCGAGACATCTGACGATTCATTTGTTCCATTCAGTTCTACGGTAATGCCACGGTAAGTGCAAAACGATTACTCGGTTACGACTTCTCCTATATATCCGAGATACTTGCTAACAGCAAATAGCACGTGGAAACCGAGCAAATTTCCTTCGAACGAAGCCTTAATGCTTGTTACAAGTTGAACAGTTTTATGAAGACAAATATTTGTGGTTGCGTTTTTTTTTACATGAAGGTACAGAAGTGGTAAGTTTATATGCTAGAACTAAGTGACGTAGGTTTCGTAATCAAAATATCAACTTTAATTTTTCACAGACCGTTCGTATTTGCGTCGATAGAAAGTAAATTCTTTTCGTGCCGTATACGCGATCAGTGATACTGTATCGGCTGTTTCAAGAATGTTATTTTGTAACACGCACAATGCAGTACATGCGACCAATTAAATATACGTATACATATATATATATAATAAAATTTTCCACACTTTTAATATTTCTCAAATATCTTTTATTTATTTGTTATATTTTTATAAGTCATTTTATGGATAAATATATTATAATAATAAATATACAATAAATACATAGAAAATATTCGAAAAATGCTAGAAATATTGAAAGATATTTGAATATTTTAGATATTTTTTAAATTTAGATTTGCTTTAATTTAGAATTATCTAATTTTCAAACTCTATAAATCTATTTTTACAAAACAAGAAATAAAATCGATAATTTAATTAGAAGACTCTTGTCATGCCTTAACATTACGTAAAATGTGTGTGTGTTAATAATTTGTATATATTTAATATTCGAGACCAAATATGCGGTATGAGTTATGAAAGGCATACAATTATCCTAAAAAGATACATTCAATTATCCTCATTTTCTTTACGGTGCACTTTGCAAGTGCGAGCTAATAAAATCAGGTACTAGAGTACAAACTAATTTTGTCTAAAGTCGAACGTTCATTTCGTGTCCGATCGTAAAGATGAAATGTCATCAAGTGAAATTGCAACAGAAACGACACGTTCGAAGGAAATAAGAAATTTTCGACATTTGAACAGTTTATGTCGTTTATGATTATACGGGTGCCCGAGTTTTACGTAAGAAATAGAGTACATCTGGCGATTTGCGCACGTGAAAGTGGTCTGCCGAGTTGTATCGGTCAGTTAATTCCGAGTCCGGTTCGTTAATGCTGCTCGCTCTTCTGGGCCACTTCTTGCGATCCACGGAGAGAATCAACCGCGACGAGCGCAAATGAACGAATTATAATAATGATAAATTGTCGTAATTATTACAACAATGAATTATCAATCAAAAGCAAACATGTGCTTTTGAATATAATTGAAGGATAAGTCTTTCGATTATTGTGCCTCTTCATTATCTCATTTTTACACGATCAAAATTAACAAGGATCAAAATAAATGATCGTCGGTTATATAATATAGTACATAAGAAATGAAAAGCAATAAAACGTAAGCATTATAAGCGATAGGAGGCTAACCACAGATTGAGAACATATAATAATGTAAGCAATAGTAAATAAAAAAATTGCTTACTGTATAGAAAAAAAATCAGTTTAAGTAAATGATCTGAAAATAATATTATTGAAGCATATAATTATGTAGAGCGCTCAAATTGGTTGATAGAATGTTAAATTTTTTTGCATTATGCATTGGGTTTCCTACAAATTATTTTTATGCAATAAAATTATTTCTAGACCTAATCCTTAGACCTAATTTTTAGATCTTAGTATCTAATTGAATTTATAGAAAAATCTTTTTTTCTGTTTACGGAAATTTGTGTACGAAAGTTAAATTCACTTGTTGCGGAAGTTCCGCATGGCACAGCACACAATTAGAAGAGCACACAATTCGAATTTCCACGCTCACCTTGCAGCTGCTCAGTCGTGTCTAATCCTATGTCTCATTTCCGAGCCACCACAGCACAATTCGACCCGGCAATCCGTAATACTTTCTCCGATGGCGAATTAAAACCAAAGAGAAACTTTAACAAATCGGAGAAATAAATAAATCGACGCGGCCGTTTCCTGTCGAAAACAGGACGAGCGACACTCTTCGTTCGAAATTTCGAAAAGATCGAGGTAAAAGTTCGCGGACTTGGTACTCAACTCTATGTGGCACTCCGAGAGAAAAAGAGAGAAAGAAAAGAGAAAAGATTCGGTCGAGATCACAGAATTCGCGCGCGATAGCGAGACGACGGGGTCAGACGGGTCAGACGGGACGTTGCACGTGACGCATTTTCGGATGCGCCGATTTTTCGCGCGTTCGTTGCACGAGGGACGTTGTTCGGGGATTACGATCGGGTAGAGTGCTCCGAGACAAATGCAAGTACGATCGGACGTCGGCCGTGTCAAAAATCCCGCTCGCCAGCCGGAGGGGAAAAAGAAAAAAAAAGAGCCACTCGACCAGGTATTTTCCCTTTCGCCAGAATGCGGGACCACCACCACGCGATCGCCACCATCCGCCACCGTCACCATCACCACCACCATCGTTACCGGTTGCAATTGCCACCGCCGCTGCCGCTGCCTATCACCATTGCCATCGCCATCACTACCGTTACTGTCGCCAATGTGAAAAATATCGAATGACCAACAATAGACGGACGATTATAAAAGTGAACGGACAGGACGACCCTCCGCAGTAACGATCTTGAATCTTTCTTTAAGAAAACATGAACGATCCCAGGCATAATATGTCCTAAAGACATCATTACAAAGCCACAGAATACAAATTGACAGCAACATTACATCAATATTATAATTTTCTACTCAATAATATCAATGTAACACGTGTTGTATATAACAGTTATATTATTGAGTAGCAAATTATTAGGTGTTGGAATTAATTCGTAGCGTTTTTTAATGAAAGAATGTTATTTATTTCACATGAGCATTAAAAAATACATTAATGAAAGTACTTCCCATCTCTTGTAAAACGCTACGAATTAATTCCAACACCTAATATAATATTGATATAATGTTACTATTAGTTTTGCGAGAAGTCTTTTAAATTTGTTTAAAAGATGTCTTATAGCAAATTTGATTGGACGCATTAGTTTCTACTAATACATATTACAGTTATTGTATACCGAGGGTTTATTACGGTTCTTGAAACGAGGTGAAAATTACGAAAGTGATCGAATTTACTAGAATATTTCTAACTTTATTGGTTAACACCTGGTGAGTTTGCTCATTTTTGTAATTTTCACTTCTAAGAACCGTAATAAGCCTCTGATTTAATCTGTATAAAAGTAAACTGCAGCTAATATTTCGAATTAGTATAAAATAGAAATTTTTTACTTAACATCACAATAAAATGTTTTGAGGATTTCATGGTTTAATCTGTTTTTATATTTATATTAAATACTTATTTTTACATCTATTTATGTGGCTTTAATGTGCATTGGTACGCATGTACTGAGTGTATTCAATCATTATTATTGACGACTTTAAAATGTCTTATGTCCCGATCTTGGACATGTATGCTGTTTGAAATCGGTTGTCGTGCGAATTTATAATTATAGAGCAAAATTAAAATGTTCCTTCAAATTGAGTTTATTCGGTGGAAACAAATTGTTTCCTACTAGTTGCTAAAATCGTTTGTCTCTAGCAACAATAGGTAACAATAGGCAAATTCTTGAATATTCCTTTGATATGTGTGTGTGTGTGTGTGTGTGTATAGATATGCACTTTATAAATACAAGAATTTATTTTGATACTATCAGACAATAATTATTTTTGTCAGATCAATCGTTAACTGATCTTTCTTTACTTTCTGCATGAATACCGCATAATAAAATCCATTGGACTCCTTTTTCCGCACTCATTACTGCTATAATTATTATCGATTGATCGATAAATTCGTGTGTCGATATTTTAAACTGTACAAATAATGCAAAAGATCCTGAATAAATTTTTGCCCGCAGATTGATTCTTTGTGCATGAAACAAGGTTGCTTAACGAAAAATATGGCCTTGAACCATTTTTCATGAAATAAACGTATTAACTCCCAAATGCATGGGGTTTCATAATGGAATGTATCGTTTCGATGCAGTCGGAGAGTAGAAGAAAAGAAGTCTGTAGCCACGCGAATTAAAGAGAAAGGATCTCTCAAGGAGTTATGAAATAAAATGAAATGATACGGAAGAAGGTCGAAATAAATTCTTTTTTATATAAATGGATTCTTTTCAATCTCTCTCTTATTCGATTTAAATTATTTACTTAAGTTTATTATATTTGTTGTTAATAATAAAACTGATTATCAAACCATATTAAATTAAAATTCAAAAATATTTTGATATATTAAATTTCTTTAGTAATAATATTTTTGCAAAATTTTAAATCATAATTACATTTTTAGCCAAATTATGCCAATTAAATATAAGTAAGAAAAAGATATATATTATAATTTTTTGAGTGTTTTAAAAAAAAGTAATGTTAAATTTCTCAGCTGTCAAAAACCGTTGTGATGATATTTAACAACTGATAAAATTATATATTATTGCAGGAATTATTTTATATTTCTATTGTGCTATATCGGACAATGTATCGGTGTTTTACTTTACCGCATATTTTATAAGTTTTATGATTACAAAATTACTATGTTTTTAAGAAAAAACTAAAAATAAAACTGTATTTAAAATACTACAAAAATAAAGCAATTCGTTTATTGTACGTAATTATTTCTCGCCTCTAACAGAATATGGCGTCTGAAGATAGAATCGAGCCTTAAATTATTACATACAGTTATCATAAAAATATATATAGCTTTTTATTTAATCGATTCAAACATCGTGTATTTTATCAACAATTTTGTCAGAAAAGTAAATTTATAATTATTGATCGACTCTTCGATTATTTTATACAATATAAAATAAATAATAATTAATTTTATTGTAACGTATATAAATATTAATTATTAATGTACAACAGATAAGTTAAATATTAATTTAGTTTTATTAGTAAAGATACTCACTTTTTATTTCCACTTACTTTCAACCTTTATATTTTTTTTCAGATATTCCATCCCATCACTAATTAGATTTTCAAAAAGAACAATTCTCTTTACCTGTAATAAATATCATTTACAGTTTAAAAATTTTGATTAGGAGTTCCAAGGATTTAGTTAAAACAAAAAAGCGCGTAAAGGTCTCATGGAATTTGATGGATTAATTAGCAGTTTAAAAAAAAAAAATTCAAAATTGTTTTTGACGCCTGACTGAAAAGAGATTGACCTGCATAAAACTACGTCGATAAGGTGGTTGTCCTTTTTTATATGAGACAGAAAAGAACGTATTCTTCCTCGATTGAAAAGTCGTCTTGACTCTAATCTCAATTCTTTTGTATTTTAATGAATGTTTTGCTATTGTCCTGAAGAATTCGCGCTTTCGCTTTGATCTGAATGAATATAAAGAGAGACCATTACCGATGAGTCGAAGTATTGAGAAATCGTTCGACTTTTCACTTCCTTTAACAGTCGCGTTTTCAAATAGAAGCGAAGTTATACTTTACGTTGTCGTAATATACAATATTAACACGAACAGGCACATCGCGAAAGTAATTGGATCGCGCATGTCATTTTCTCCGTGTTTTAACTGACTTTCAATGGAATATCGATCATGCATTATCGACCTTCCTATAATGATCCACTTCTTTGCATGAATGTCAAAGAGAAAGCGATGTGTCGTGATGTGCTGCACAATTTTCTATCAGTTTTTATCGTACAATTTTGTATTTAATTACCTATATATTAGCTGTATATTTGTCTCATTGTGATGGTGTTCAAATTAGTTAATATAAGTCTTTTAGCCTTAGTCATACTTTCTATAAACTTCTTTTTTTTCTTTCTCTTCTTTATGAATAATATTTCTCTAATCTATTTTATTTGTATCGTAAGGAGATATTTGAAATAAGCAGAAAAAATTCATTTCTTTAAAACTTTCTTCTTTGATGTTGCGGAACTCTTATTTAATTTTTATAACCATAATTATATATGTGAGAATATATTTATAGAGTATGCTAGAGAAGAAATACTTCATCGAATAAAAATTTTAAATGAATAGACATGAGCAACATATAGCATCATATTGTTAGAGAAATCCATACGCATCGATCTTATCTTTAGAGAAAATGGTTACGTCTTATGTTAGTCAATAGTTTACTACTTTAATTACATATAAATTTAAAACTTGTGCTAAAAATTTGCAACCTATTTGGTAAACAACGTTTCATACATTAATATGTGTAAATATATATAAACATTATACGTAAATATTCATAATACGTATAATAATACAGGGTGGGCCATCTATTGGTACGTTTTTGAATTTCGTCGTATGGCAACACCGAACGAGCTACAGACCCGAAATTTTGACAGTTTATTAGTCATACCGTCCGCGGCACGAAACAACATGTTTTCTCTTGAAGAGCGTTTTGAAATTTTAAAAACTTATTTTCAAAGTCAGTGCTGTGTCGCCGAAACTGTACGAATTTTGAAAAGAAATATGGGTCGTGATAGAGCACCCACCGAAGGAGCTATACGCAAATTGGTGAGGAAAGTTCGTGAGAAAGGGATGTTAGTGGATGACAGAAGTGGTCCCAGAGCTCGGACAGTGCGCACACCCGAGAATATTGAGGCTGTGGCCCAAAGTGTGAGACAATTCCAGCTTTGAAAAACAATATTACGACTGTTTTGAGTGAAATTGGCGCCGAGGTAGTCCAAAATGTCATTAATAATTGGGGTGACCGAATGGCATACTGTAAGGCCAGTAGAGGGAGCCACATGAACGAAATCGTTTTTCATTCTTGACGCGGATACTTTTAGCTTCACAACAAAAAAAAAATTAATAAAAAATATCAATGTATGCTCATTTGATCGCATTTTTAAAAACGTACCAATAGATGGCCCACCCTGTATATGAAATATGTCCATACATATTTATACATCCCTTTTTCTTTTGTAAAATTATTTTTTAGTGTAATTGAAATAACAATAGTAATGTGAAAATATAAAAAATTAAAGGGATAATTTTCGCATTGTTCATTTTAGAAAAAAACAAGTCTGGAAAAATATTTAAAAAATTGCTCATACACAATTATGCATAATTTTATATATAATTATATAATACATAAGTAATTTTTTTACATTTCTTCAAATTTGATTTTTTCTAAAATAAATAGTGAAAATTACCTTTTTAATTATTTTTAACGTTTTCTATTGTTATTTCTATTACACTAAAAAGTAATTTTACAAAAAAAAAACTGTATGAACATAATGGACATATTTCATATAAAATTATGTATGTTTATGAACATTTATGTATGCTTATACATATT